TCCCCCATGATTACCACATCCTTAGCCTTCACTACCTCTTATGTTAGAGTCCATTTATGGACGCAGAACCTGGAAATTATTTATGCTTACTCAGGGACCCCAAAGCCTAGCAGAAATGTTTCTATATCTTATTTTTCTCAAAGGCAGGTTTTGGTGACCTGTACATAGTCATGACATTGCACCGAATTTGCCCCAAACTGTTGAATTAACAGGCTAGACTCTCAAAGCCAGTGAGAAGGGGCCTCCCTCCTTTACCCAACTGCTTCAAGCACTCCCCCAGCATGTGGGAGACAAAGGCTCAAATCTCTACGGTCTGACAGGACCCAAACCTACATCTTCTTGCACCTTCCACTTATCAAGAGAAGGCTCCCATCCTCATTCTATAGAGTGTTCCCTAGTGTGCCTAGAGCAGCGATTCGCAACTTTTTTAGATGCAACGTACCTCTCGTTAGACTCAAGGAAACCTCCAGTAAATGCTACCTCTTAGTTTTCACTTGCTTTTGACCATGGAAAAATAATAGACCAGTTTTTTCTGTTGCCAAGAACTCAGAAAGATCTCAACAGGCCAAAATGTTTTTAACATTATGAACTCCTGTTTGACATTTCTGTGAATATCTTGTGAATCTTGCACAAGATCTCTGTGAATATCTTGCACACCTAACAGCAGTAACACTGCATGGCATTCTGGAGCACCCCTAAAAGATCTTAAAGCATCCCAGACTGCCAAAGCTCCTAGGTTGAGAATCACTGTTCTAGGAGTCTCTCTATCTACCTTGTTGTCACTGTTGTACTGTGTATAAACACTTAAATATTAACGGAGCCAGAGACAGCAGGAATTGCTCAAGCACCCAGTTATCAGCAAAACATTTATGCATGTTATAGGATGTAAAACTACTTCAACTGAAGTGATACCTGAACACGACCTCAGAACACTGTATGGTCCAGTTGCTAGTACACTCGCATAGGATGTGGGACATCCAAGTTCCAACCAATACTGCTTATTTTAGAGCAAAGATTTTAACTAGATATTTTCCATGCCTCCCAGGGAAGTGAGAGAGGTGACTTTGTATGTCCTCAGGAGGTGGACAGATCTGAATCTAGTGTCCCACATTCTGGAAGAATGGTGAGTGTCCTGCCCACTAAGTTGCTGGCTGAAAAGGAGGTCCCATTGATTTACATTTGTTAAATATATCAAACATATTCTTATCGCAACTGAATTCCTTCCTCCTACATAGTCATGGGAACTGGTCATCTGTTTATTAGGCTTTTGCAGGGCTGAATTTGAGCCTGGCAGAGAGAGGAACCATACATGCATCCTCACCTATTGCACATGCTATTTTCAGAACTGGCTGAGAGGCACTGAGAGTGCTTACTTGACAACATGAAGGCTAGAGGGGTCTGATGGTAAAACCAGGGGGAACCCAGGGCACACTTTGAGACCCTGACTGATAAAATAATACACACTAGGTGCGTCTACATGTGCTATTAATGTTTATTGTTCCAAAGACTGTTTTGCTCCCAGGCGTGATGTTTGAATACGCACCCAGGAGCAAAACACTCCAAAGCAAGTAAGTTTATTTGTGTGCAGCATGTGGAGCCCAGTCAAAGCAGCCCAGGCTAGCAAGGGGCCTGGGGGTCAGCCTACCAGCCCACAGCCAGTCAAATGGGGCTTCACATGCTGCTGAGAGGCTGTCTGGGGCAGAGGCTGCTTCAACATGGGGGCTGCCTGCTGGCAACTGGGACAGCATCTGCTTGTGTGCTGCTGCATATGAAAAATGTATTTTACAAGTACTACCCTGCTGCAGAGTTTATTAGTTTTGTGCACCATAATAGGGGTGCATGTGTAGATGCCAAGATATTTACTGTGCTGTTAAATAGTCAACTACGCAGTAACGTCTTGCGTACATGCACCCACTGACAACGATTTCTAAACAACAGACTCTGCAAGTTACTGTATACTGCATGCTGTGTAATTGCAACTACTGCTGTACACTATTCATTTGCACACAGGAAGTGCTAGTATGTTACTGACCCGGAGATATGTAGCAGTCGGGGTATAGATGTGAATCTTGCCCTCTTTTTCATTGCCTTTGTTTTTGCAGAACATTTCCACCACCAGGTTCTTGATAGAAATGGCTTTCCCAGCTGTTAGCTCCACAGTAGACAGATAAGCAGAATGTTGAGGTTGGTGTAGTTTGTGAGAAGTGTACAGATACAGCCACGGGGTGTCCATTGTTAGTGCACCTGAAAGGTAGTAACACAGCATACATTTGAAAATGGTAGAAAAGCTGGATCTCAGGCTACTTGCTTCCTAAAAACACAAGAAAATTAACAAGAGTCAGGTGTTATAGGGAGTTCCTACTCCGTGTTACCCTATGACAGGGACAGCTGACTAAAGCAAAGTGGGTAGAAATAAGCAGCCAATGGGGAAAAGGAAATAGTGGCTCCAAAGTGGCAGAAAAGCTGCAGGCCACTTACCTGAAGTGGGCTGCTGGCAGACAATAAGGCAAGGGAGGAGGTTCCAACACTGAGAGTAGGGCCAGGCAGCAGAGCTCAAGGGGCAGCAAGAAGACAGCTCTATTGAGAAGCTAGCTTCGTTGTAAGACAGGGCTACAGAGGGCAGGATCCAGATTAGTTAGCCTGCTAATTGGTGAAAGAAACCTAGCTACAGAATGCAGGGTAAGAACTGCAATGAGGCAGCCTGCAGATAGGGTGTGGGCTGCATGAGCAGTGGGTCTGTTAATGAGAAGGGGGGAAAGCCTCAAGGCTTGCTAAGGAAAGGCCAATAGAGCCAAGTGGCTGTGGAGCAGCATACCCACAGAGTAGACAATAGCAAATCCCTAAGCCTAGCTCCTGGAAGCAAGAGGCTCAGGTGACCAGAAAAGGGAGGAGTCAGGGGCTACACAGGTGTAGCCCAGAGCTAAAGGAGACACTGGCCCTGATCTGGAAGGAGCTCTGCTGAGTATTCTAGACAAACGTAGCTGTATTCGGTAGGAGTTGATGTTTTCATCCACAAGATTTGGAAGTGGCTGAAGGAGAGGAGGAGATGGCCATGGGGACTGTAAAAGGAGTTCTCTGTAATTTGAGTTGTGGAACCCATCTGGTGGCAAGGTACGGCGAAGGTGCTGGAGGGCTGAAGCTGAAAATAGAGTGAAGGTGCCCATTGGGTCCAAAGCCCAGAGGCAAGACCAAGATGTCCAGAGCACTAAGGCAGAAGGAGAGAGAGAGAGACTAAAAGTAAGGTTAACTAATACCAGTAGCAAAGAGCAACACCTTGTTCAGGAAAGTTAGATCAAACTGAGGCAGCCTGATGGTGAGCAGAGCAGAGTTAACCACCCACGTCTTACCCTGATAATCTGAGGGCAGTCTCCTAATTCATATAAACAATCCAGGAATGTCAGAGCAGTAGCCTGAGGAACCAGTAGCCAGGTCTACAGGCTGTTAGGGGGTGCCATGACCATCTTCTGGAGGCTAATTTTGTCACACATGACCTTTAGAGTGAAGGTGCATCTTTAGCTTCTTTGTAAATTAGAAACTGCAAATGTGTGTAAACTAATTCTGATCTTATAACTTCTATGTGCCATGCTACTGTAAATTTATTCGTGGCCATGAACAGATAGGAGACAATGTGACTACTGGCTAAACATGGGTTCTACTGCATAATCTGCTCCACCATGAATAATCTTTATTGCCACTGAGCAAGCAATTATGCAGCCCATATTCACTACGGCTGTGTGAAGCTTTGGTCCCTGATTTGATTCAGCCTGATTCGGTGGCCGAATCTCTGAATCCAAATCGAATCAGAGGATGTTTTAATCTCTCCAAATCGAATCGGAACTCTCTGAATCGATTCAGAGAGGTTTGGACATAGACACAGCTTTAAATGTTTTTTCTACATACCTCTAGGTTGCAGGGGCTCGTGAATGCTGCGATGCTGGGGCACACGGAGTGTCCCACAGAAGCATGTGGGGCTCCCCAGTGCACTCAGCAGCAGACCTGGAAGTGGACCAGAATCACTTCCGGTCCACTTCCGGGTCCACCTGGGAGCGCGTGGGGGCCCCTCCCACTCGTGCCTCCCCAGCTCAGTGAGTGGTGCCTCCTGGGTCTGGGGGGGCACCTGAGGTCCCCCTGCAGCTGATTGCTGAGCTGGGGGGGTGCAGGGAGGGGGCCCAGCATGCTCCCCCTCAGACCCGGAAGTAGACAGGAAGTACATCCAGTCCACTTCTGGGTTCACCACTGAGCACATGGAGGGCCCTCCACACTCCCGTGGGACGCTTCATGTGCCCCAGCATCTCAGTGATCACGAGCTGCTCCTGCTACCTCAAGGTATGTAGAAACAGCTTTTAAAGCTGTGTCTATGGCTGAATCACTGATTCTCTGAATCAGCACTGAATCTTCAGATTCTGATTCAGCCAAATCGAATCAGGGACAGTGATCCGAATCAATGAATCGAATCACTGTCCACGATTAGGATTGAATCCAAATCGAATAGGGCCCACTTTGAACACCCCTAATAGTCACATGATTATTCTCGCACCTGACAGGATACCATACTTCAGAAGAAGTTCTACAATATGTATATACATTTTGAACAAGGTCTGCTGCATATCTTGAAATGCCATTTAGCTGTGCCAATAAAGCATATTGTTTGTGATTTAGCTAGTAAGACAAAATTTCATCCAAAGATGGAGGCAAAAAATGATTCAGTGCTTATAATACGTTAGGCAAATATCTGCCATATCAAGTGACTTGTAAGGCCAGACATTTAAAAAGCTAAATCTCCAAAAGCTAATCCCCAAAGCTATTTGGTTAGGGAGCAAATTCAAAGCTAGTATATTCACTTAAAGTCTATTGAACAACGCTATGGTGAATTCAACCTTCTTGCACCTTCCTGCTTGATTTGGACACTAAAATTGTCTAGCTGTAGGCTTGCTTTGAAAATGTAGGCATGAGGGGTAAATCCACTGACAAAGCCAAATAGTATTCTAATTCGCATAAATGTAACCTTGCTGAAATGTAAATTTACACTGAGCCTGACCTACTTAATGTAATCAGTAAGGGCTAGACCCAAAAAGTATTTGTATACCTAGGGACCTTGTTACACCTTTTGTTGTGAGCTGAACAAATGTTAATCAGCTTAGTGATAGAGCAGTTGTACCTTAAGGTGAAAAACCATCTCTGACTGTCCTTCAGTTGCACAGCTGTGACTTGCCACTAGAGGCTTGGTGAGCAAGGACAGGACTAGGAGCTAGGCTCACTGCTCCCGCTGGGCAGAGCAAATGCCACAGCCTTGGAGCACCCAGAGGACACAGTGCCTCGTGCTACTGCCCAAACTGGCTCACTGTTTGAGCTCCAAGGAGACTGATTCTTTTTTTTTCTCCAGAGCCTGCACTCCTGAGCCACCCCCAACCTGGGCAGCCAGCCAGCTGGGTGCTGCTTGAGCCCACTTGGGCCCCTTGGATCTCAGGTAGTGCCCATCCTGCCAGCAGCCTAGCTGGCAGTGGTGCATGGGGACAAGCTCTAGAGAAAAAAAAAGGGTTGAGCCCCAAGACTCAGACATGAATGTCAGTAGTGGGCATTAGAACAAGAATTATTGTTCAACATGTCCCTGTACTCCTGCTGATGGCTAAAACATGTATAAATTACTGAGAACCCCCCTCCCCACTATAAGAAATACAACTCTTGCTTCCCATATAACTGCAAATGTAAAATGCAAAACGTAATAATAAAGACACAATTCTTGGTATTTTTTCCTGAAGAAACAATTTCTTGAGACAGAACATTTAAAAACTCACATTTATCTCTCTCTTTTGGTGACATACACCAAGGTGAATTATTACAAGTATAAGTATGAAGCAAGATATGTGAGGTGAGGTAACACCTTTACTGGACCAGCTTGGATAGTAAGGAGAGAGCCCAAAATAGGTTGGTCCAATAAAAGATTATCTCACCAAACATTGCTTCTCTCATATCCCTGGACTATCATGGCTACAATCATACTATATGACTGAGTGTTTAATAAACAACTGAAAAGATCCTTTCAATATTCTAGTCATTGTCCCCGGTGTGTTTTCTTTTCCTTAATGTCAGTAACGTGAATGTGGTCAGTACCTTCTAGAGCAAAGAATGCAAACTGTGACTTGCCCTTTACTTACTCTCTTCATGGAAAATTTTTGCCTCTAATCAGATTGGACCCACAATTTAAAAGATAAGCCCCTACAACTAATCCACAAAATCCCAGCAGCATATCTGCAAAAGAACTTCTAAAGTCACAGATAGGAAATTTTTGGTGATGCTTCACCTTCCCACTTCTTAAGGTAATTTCTGGAGGTATCTTTCCATTGCAGTCCTGCCACAAATGGCATACGGTCATTATACTGCACCTTAAAGTTGGTGCTACTCTCTGAATAACCCTGAGAGATACAGGAGTGCTGCAGCTGGGTTCTGTAATTCATCTGCTTTTCAGGGACTTGCAGGCTAAACTGGAAAACACAAAAAAATCAAATTAAATTTAGAAGCATCTTTCATCATCGGAGTTGTCAAGGCCAAATGAATATTTGCTTGGGTGTGAAGTAGCCATGGAAGACACAGGTTCAAGGCAAAAGTCTCACCAATGTACATTTGTCATTTTTTGTCAAAGCTTTTCATGTTTTTTTTAACCTGGTACAGAATTAGAATATAATAAAGGGCGTAGTCTGTCTGTCTGTCTGTCCGTAACGCTTTTGACCAACTGTGCGTGCACCGCCGAGAGGGCAGGCAGTGATTGGCTGCATGGGCCCAAGTTTGAGCTGCTGCCAGGGAAGTTTGTGGCAGTGGCAAACACATCCTGGCCACCTAAGCAGCGGGGCTTCCCCATGCCTCCCTACCTGCAGGCAAAGGGGGGGTGTCACTGTGGCAGCACTCCCCCCCACTGCCCGCCCCCACCTCCC